CTTTATTTGTTCATCTATCAATGGACGCTTAGGTTGTTTCCATATCTTGGCTATTGTAAATAATGTTGCAGTGAACAAGAGGGTGCACACATCTTTGGAATGTATTTTCATTTTCTTTGGGTAAATACCCAGAAGTGGAATAGCTGGGCCATATGGTAGTTCTATTCTTAATTTTTTTGAGGAATTTCCATAATGTTTTCCATGGTGGGTGCACCAACTTACATTCCCACCAGTAGTGGATAAGGGTTTCCATTTGTCCACATCCACTGTGTTACTGATCTCTGAAAACAAGGTTTTCTGGAACAAACGTTAGAGTATTCTTTTTTTTTTTAATTTTTTTTAACGTTTATTTATTTTTGAGACAGAGACAGAGCATGAATGGGGGAGGGTCAGAGAGAGAGGGAGACACAGAATCAGAAGCAGGCTCCAGGCTCTGAGCCATCATCCCAGAGCCCGACGCGGGGCTCGAACTCACGGACCGTGAGATCGTGCCCTGAGCCGAAGTCGGACGCTCAAACAACTGAGCCACCCAGGCGCCCCACGTTAGAGTGTTCTATTACTTTGGGGATTCTACTCTTTGAATATCATACACACAAGCAACAAGGCCAATAACAATACTTGTTATTTCTTGTCTTTTTGATAATAGCCAATCTGACAGGTGTGAGATAATATCTCATTATGGTTTTGATATGCATTTTTCTAATAATTAGTGATGCCAGCCTTTTCATGTGCCTATTAGCCATGTATAAATCTTCTTTGGAGTATAGCTACTGTTTTTATTTATTTATTTATTTATTTATTTATTTATTTATTTATTTATTAAAGTTTTCATTTTATCACCCAGTGCTTAGCATAAGGTGCCCTCCTTAATCCCTATCACCTATTTTACCCATCCCCCCACCCATATCCTCTCTGGTAACCATCAGTTTGTTCTCTAGAGTTAAGAGTCTGTTTCTTGGTTTGTCTCTCTCTTTCTCTTTTCTTGTTTTGTTTCTTAAATTCCAAATCATATGGTATTTGTCTTTCTCTGGCTGACTTATTCCACTTAGCATTTCACCCTCTAGGTTCATCTACATCATTGCAAATGGCAAGGTTTCACTCTTTTTTAAATAAGGTTTTAAAAATATTTCAATGTTTAATTTTACTTATTTTTGAGAGTGAGAGAGACAGTGCAAGTAGGGAGGGGCAGAGAGAGACACACACAGAATCCAAAGAAGGCTCGAGACTCTGAGCTGGCAGCACAGAGCCCAACATGGGGCTCGAACCCATGAATCATGGGATCATGACCTGAGCCAAAGTCAGATGTTTAACTGACTGAGCCACCCAGGTGCCCCAAGATTTCACTCTTTTTGATGGCTGAGTGATATTCCATTTTATATATACACACCACATCTTCTCTATTCATGCATCAGTCAGTGGACACTTGGGCTCTTTCCATAATTTGGCTTAATAGATAATGGCTCTATAAATACTGGGGTGCATGTATTCCTTTGAATCAGCGTTTTTGTATTCTTTGGGCAAATACCTAGTAGTGGGATTGCTGGATGATGAGGCACTCTATTTTTAACTTTCTGAGGAACCTCCATACCGTTTTCCAGAGTGGCTGCTCCAGTTTGCATTCCCTCCAACAGTGCAAGAGGGTCCTGTTTCTCCATATCCTTGCCAACACCTGTTATTTATTGGGTTTTAGCTATTATGACAGGTGTGAGGTGGTATCTCATTATAGCTTTCTTTGACTTACATTTCCCTGATGATAAGTAATGATGGGCATCTATTCATGTGTCTGTTGGCCATCTGTATGTCTTTTTGGAGAAATGTCTATTCATGTCTTCTGTCCATTTTTTACATTGGATTATTTGGGTTTTTTTGGTTGTTGAGCTGTATAAGTTCTTTATATATTTGGGATACTAACCCTCTTTTGGATATGTCATTTGCAAATATTGGTAGGTTGCCTTTTAGTTTTGTTGATTGCTTCCTTTGCTATGCAGAAGCTTTTTATTTTGATGTAGTTAGTCCCAATAGTTTAGTTTTGCTTTTGTTTCCCTTGCCTCAGGACACATGTGTGGAAGAAAGTTACTACAACTAATGACAAAGAACTTGGTGCTTGTGTTCTCTTCTATGATTTTTATGGTTTTATGTCTCACATAAATTTAAGTCTTTAGTCCATTTTGAGTTTATTTTTGTGTATGGTGCAAGAAAGTGGTCCAGTTTCATTCTTTTGCACATGGCTGTCCAGTTCCCAACACCACTTGTTGAAGAGACTGTCTTTTTCCCATTGGATAGTCTTTCCTGCTTTGACAAAGGTTAATTGACCATATAATTGTGGGTTTTTTCTGGATTTTCTATCCTGTTCTATTTATTGATCTCTGTGTCTATTTTTGTGCCAGTACCATACTGCTTTGATTACTACAGCTTTGTAATATAACTGGAAGTCCATATTGCTTTGATGCCTCCATTTTTGCTTTTCTTTAAGATTTCTTTGGCTATTCAGAGTCTTTTGTGGTTCCATACACATTTACAATTGTTTGTTCTAGTTCTGTAAAAAAATGCTGTTGGTATTTTGATAGGGATTACATTAAATGTATAGATTGCTTTGGGTAGTATGGACATTTTAACAATATTTGCTCTTCCAATCCATCAGCATGGAATATCTTTCCTTTGTGTATTTTCAATTTCTTTCATCAGTGTTTTACAGTTTTTTTAATTTTAATTTTCTTAGTGTTTATTCATTTTTGAGAAAGAGACACAGAGTATTAGTGGGGGAAAGGTAGAGAAGGATGGAGACAGAATCTGAAGCAGGCTCCAGGCTCTGAGCTGTCAGCAGAGCCTGATGCAGGGACTCGAACTCACGAGCCATGAGAGCATCACCTGGGCTTAAGTCGGACACTTAACCGACTGAACCACCCAAGCGCTCCTGTGTTTTACAGTTTTCATACAGCGTTTTGGTCAGGTTTATTCCTCAGTATCTTTTTATTTTTGGTGTAATTGTAAATGGGATTATTTTCTTTCCTTGTTTTTAAAGTTTATTTATTTATTTTGAGAGAGACAGAGACAGCACAAGTGAGGGAGGGGCAGAAAGATAGGGAGAGAGAGAATTCCAAACAGGCTCTATGCTGTCAGTGCAGAGGCCTATGTGGGGTCTGAGCTCATAAAACTGTGAGATCATGACCTGAGCCAAAACCGAGTTGGATGCTTAACCAACAGCCACCCAGGTGCCCCAAATGGGATTATTTTTTTAAATTTCTCTTCCTGCTGTTTCATTGGTGGTGTGTAGAAATGCAACAGATATCTGTAGATGAATTTTGTATCCTGCGACATTACTGAATTCACTAATCAGTTCTAGGAGCTTTCTGGTGGAATCTTTCAGGCTTTCTATACCTAGTATCATATTGTCTGCAAATAGTGAGTTTTACTTCTTCTTTACTGATTTGGATACCTTTTATTACTTTTTATTGTTTGATTGCCATGGCTAGGACTTCTGGTGCTATGTTGAATGAAAGTGGTGAGAGTGGACATCTATATTTTGTTCCTGACCTTAGGGGAAGGGCTCTCCGTTTTCATTCATTGAGGATGATGTTAGCTGTGGGTGTTTCATACACAGCCTTTGTTATGTTCAGGTGTGTTCCCTCTAAACCTACTTCATTGAGGGTTTTGATCATGAATGGATGTTGTTCTTTGTGTCAAATGCTCTTTCTGCATCTATTGAAATATCATACGATTTTTTTCAATCCTCTTATTGTTGTGATGTGTGACATTGATTGGTTTGCAAATATTGAACCACTTTTACATCCCAGGAATAAATCCCACTTGATCATGGTGAATGATTTCTTTAAATGTATTGTTGGATTCAGTTTGCATTTGTTGAGGGCTTTTGCATCTATCTTCATGAGAGATATTGGCCTGTAGTTCTCTTTTTTTGTGGTGTCTTTTTTTTTCAGTTTATTTATTTATTTTGAGAGAGACAGAGCACATGAGTGGGAAAGGAACAGAAAGAGAGAAAGAATCCCAAGCAGGCCTTGTGCCATCAGCATGGAGCCTGATGCGGGACTCAAACTCAGGAACCTGTGAGATCATGACCTAAGCCAAAATCAAGAGCCAGATGCTCAACCGACTGAGCCACCCAGGTACCCCGTTTTGTAGTGTCTTTATCTGGTTTTAGTATCAGGATGATACTGGCCTCATAGAATGAATTTGCAAGTTTTCCTTCCTTTTCTAATTTTTGGAAAAGTCTGAGAAGAATAGGTATTAATTCCTCTTTAAATGATTGGTAGAATTCATCTGTAAAGCCATCTGTTCCTGGACTTTCATTTGCTGGAAGTTTTTTTTGTGGTTTTTTTTTTTTTTTTAAATTACTGAATTCAATTTCTTTGCTGAAAATCAGTCTGTTTAAATTTTCTTTTTATTCCTGCTTCAGTTTTGGTAGGTTATATGTTTCTAAGAATTTATCCATTTCTTCTAAGTTGCCCCATTTGTTGGCATATAGTTTTTTCCTAATATTCTCTTATAATTGTTTGTATTACTGTGGTGTTCGTAGTTATTTCTCCTCTGTCACTTGTGATTTTATTTTTTAGGGTCCTTTCTCTTTTTTTCCTGGTAAGTCTGGGTAGGGGTTTATCAATTTGATTTTTTTTTTCAAAGTACCAGCTGCTGGTTTCATGGATCTGTTCTGTTTTTAGTTTCTATATCATGTATTTTTGCTCTAATATTATTCTCTTTCTTCTGTTGGTTTTAGGTTTTCTTTGTTGTTATTTTTTTTTTAGCTCCTTTAGGTAGAAGGAGATTTTTTTTTTCTTCTTGAAGTATACCTCTATTCCTATAAACTTCCCTCTCAGAACTGCTTTTGCTGTGTCCCAAAGGTTTTGAACCATTGTGTTTTCATTGTCATCTGTTTCCAAGTATTTTTAACTTTTCCTTTGACTTCTTTGTTGACATATTCCTTGTTTAGGAGCATGTTATTTAACTTCCCCATATTTGTGGTCTTCCCAGATTTTTTCTTGAGGTTGACTTCTAGTTTCATAGTGTTATGGTCAGAAAACATGCATGGTATGACTTCAATATTTTTTAATTTGTTGAGACTTGTTTTGTGGTCTCTATGTGATCTATGCTGGAGAATGTTCCTTAAGCACTTGAAAAGAATGTGTATTCTGATGTTTTATGTAGTGTCCTGAATATATCTGTTAATATATCTGTTAAATATATATCTGTTAATATACCTGTTAAATACATCTGTTAAATATATCTGTTAAATACAGTGTGTCATTTAAAACCACTGTTTCCTTGTTATTTAGATGATCTGTCCATTAATGTAAGTGGGGTATTAAAGCCCCCTACTATCATTATATTAATATCAATTAGTTGCTTTATGTTTGTTATTAACTGGTTTATGTATTTGGGTGCTTCCATATTGGGTGCATAAATATTTATAATTGTTATATCTTTTTGTTGGATTGCCCTCTTTATTATTATATAATGTCTTTCTTTTTCTCTTGTTACAGACTTTATTTTAAAGTTTATTTTGTCTGATATAAATACTGCTATTCTGGATTTCTTTTGACATCCATTTGCATCATAGCTATTTCTCCATCCCCTCATTTTCAATCTGCAGGTGTCTTTAGGTCTGAAATGAGTCTCTTGTAGGCAGCATATACATGGGTCTTGGTTTTTGTATCCATTATGTCACTCTAGAGTTTTTGATTGGAGCATTTAGTCTATTTACATTTAAAGTAATTATTGATAGGTATATATTTATTGTCATTTTATTATTTGTTTTGTGGTTGGTTTTGGAGATTTTTCTCTGATCCTTTCTTGTCTTTCTTTCATGGTTTACTGGTTTTCTTTAGTGGTATATTTGGATTTTTCTCTCTTTATTCTTTGCATATTTATTAGTGGGTTTTGATATATGGTTACCGTTAGGTTTATATATAACCTCTCCTGCATATAACAATCTATATTAAGTTGATGGTCTTTTAAGTTTGAATCTATTCTTTATTCCTGTCTTCCCCATGTTTTAGGTAAATGTTGTCATATTTTACATTCTTTTATCTTGTGAGTTCTTTGACTTATTTTTTACAGAAATATTCATTTTTACTGCTTTTGTGTTTCCTACCTTTATACTGTCACTTTTGGTCTCTCCTTTACATTCAAAGTGTTGCTTTTAATATTTCTCACAGGGCTGGTTTAGTGGTCATGAACTCTTCAGGTTTTGTGTTCTGAGAAACTCCTTATCTCTCTTTCTATAATTAATGATAGCCTTGCTGGAAAGAGTGTGCTTGGCTGCAGATTTTTGCCATTCAGCACTTTGAATATATCATGCCACTCCCTTCTGGACTGGAAAGTTTTGCTGAAAAATCCCCTGCTACCCCTATGGGTTTTCCCTTATATGTTACTGTCTTCTTTCATCTTGCTGCTTTTAATATCTTTTCTTTATCACTATATTTTGCCAATTTAATCACAATATATCTTGGTGTGGATCTGCTTTTGTCGATTTTGTTGGGGGCTCTCTGTGTCTCCTGGATCTGGATATCTGTTTCCTTTTCCAGATTCAGGAAGTTTTCAGTTATTATTTATTTAAATAAATTGTCTACACCCTTTTCTCTCCTTCTTCTGGGATTCCTACAATATGAATGTTATTACATTTGATGGAGTCACTGAGTTCCCTAAGTCTATTCTCACTTTGCATAATTCTTTTTTCCTCCCTATTTGTTTAGCTTGATTACTTGATAACTCTGTCTTCTAGGTCATTAATTCATTCCTCTGCTTCTTCCAGTCTGCTGTTCTTTCCCTGTGTCAAGTGTGTTTCTCATTTAGTTTATTGAGCCCTTTAGCTCTGCTCTGTTATTCCTTACCTCTGTGTTAATGGTCTCACTCACATCTTCAACTCTTTTTTTTTTTTTTCTTTAAGTCCAGTTAGTATCCTTATGATCATTGCTTTAAATTCTCTATCAGGCAGAGATAGATATCTGTTTCACTTAGATCTCTGGCCATGACCTTGTCTTGTTCTTTCATTTGGGACAAATTCTTCTGTCTTCTCGTTTTGTCTAAGTCTCTGTTTCTCTCTGTTAGGAAAGTCAGTTATATCTCCTGTTCTTGAGGGTAATGGCTTTATGAAAAAGAGGCCCTGTAGTGCCCTGCAGTGTAGCCTCCCCTGTTCCCCAGGGCCTGGTGCTTCCAGGAGTGTCTCCAATGTGTGCTGTGTGTGCTCTACTGCTGTGTCCCAGCTGCTTTATCCTTCAGGCCAGTTGTCTGTAGAGGTACTCTTTGCCTGCTGTGGGCAGTGTTTGGTCCCTGGTCTGAATGTGGCATGTTTTAACTAGGTGTGCCCTGGTCTGCTTGTGAAATGAAACCTGTCACTGCCACCACCAAAATCAAGGCCTACCAAAACTCCCAGGTTAGGAGACACAGTGTTGTCAGGGGTTTGGGTTGGTCTTCTGGGGGAGGAGGCCCACTATACTGGGATTGAAGCAAGTGTGACTAGGAAGGGCGGTTCTTCTGGAGTGTGGTGGGTGAGGTTTGGTGTAAGTTAGGTAGTGAGTGTTGGTGCTCCACTGGTTCCCACAGGTGACTCTGTGTTTATACTGAGGGGTGGAGGAGGGAAATGGCACTGGCCAGTTCCTTTGTTCCTGGAGGGGTCTCTCCATGAATGCTACTTCTCACAACACACTCCAGGATGAGAAACTAGCTTCCCCACTATGTGCCCTAGGCATTCATCATATCACTGTTTCCATGCTGTATGTGTGTGGGCTGTTTGCCCTGCATTTTCTCTAAGAACAGCCTCAGTGCCTCTGAGCTCTCCCAGAGCCAAGCACACTGACCTTTAAAACTCCAGGTTTAAGCCCTACTGGTTGCAAGAACTCATGAAATTCAGGCCCTCTCACTTTCCAAGCCAATTGCTATGGGGATTCCTCTTCCCAGTGTTGACTCCCCTGTGTGTTAATCTGTCTCTCACCCTTCTCTGTGACCACAGCTCCCTCCCTATGGCAGTGACCATGATACTTTTCTCTCCCAAGCTGTGTTTCCACACTTCCTATCTTCTTTGATGTGGCCTCTTCTCTACCTTTAGTTGTGGAGTTTGTTCTGCCGGTCTTCAGATAGATTTCTGGGGTATTTAGGATGATATGATAGGTATCTAGTTGTGTTCATGGGATAAGGTGAGCCTAGGGTCCTCCTATTCCACTGTCATCTTCTCCTCCTTGACTATTGCTAGTATTTTTAATCATTATTATTAGTCGAGTGACTCTGGGATGTCCAGAAATGCAAGTGTAGAATCTAAATTGAGTTCACACGAACTCTCAGAGGAACTGAGCATCTGCCTGTCCTTTTGCCAACTGCATTTCGTCAAACCTAAGATGCCAACTATTGCAGGAGGCTGCATGGATCACTGAGGAAGAAATACGCTACACTTAAACCAGGACCCGGGCTTTCTTATCATTGGATGTATGAGTCATCCTGATTTTAGAGATGTTTAAATGGCAAAATGTGTGTCTTAAAATCAGTGAGAGCTGATTCACTGTGTTTTACTAGATAATCTCTGTGATGTTTGGACTCTGGGGCAGGGAGCTGGGGAAAAAGATGGGCATAGGCAGGTGAGAAGACTCTGAGCATAAAGCCAGGACAACAGGATGGGAGCGGGAAGGACTGGGTGGTTTTTAATATTTCACACATGCATGAATGTGCCTGAGCTGCAAGCTGTGTTTCCCAATGATGAGAAGGCTGGGTGCTCACAGATGGGGAGTAAGAGGCTGTCAGAACATTTTGTCTTAAACTTTCTGACTTTTAAACTGTCCTAGAGTGTCTCTAACTTTTGAAATGTGTTTTACCACTTTTTGGGGAAGACTTCAGGGAATACAGATTTTACACTCCAGTGCATAAAAAAATACCCTGAGGAGGATTAGTTCTTTTGTTCAGAAATATTTACTGAACATCCATTATGTGAGTCACCTTGAAAACAAGAGGCCCTTCCTCTCATAGAATTTACAGTCACACAAGACTGACAAGTTTTGCACATTAATGAGGGACTTTTTGTGTTCAAAGAGGCACATGAAGAAGAGAAAGCTGCGTATGACACCACTTACCACATGGGATCTTAAGCGTGTGGGCCCTAGAAACAATTTCCACCACTTACCAGCTTTGGGATCTTGGACACCCAGCTTTGTGGGGTCTCTGTGTCTCAGTTTTTTCATCTCTAAAATGGGGCTTCAGATAAACTTACGTCATTTACAAAATAAAAAATTAAATAAAAAATTAAGTTATGTCTTAAAATTACGGTGAGGACTCAATGAGTTAGTAAATGATTGCAGGTTATGCATACTTACTAAATGTTCATTATTATAAGTTAGAAGGCATTATCCCAAATTTCTTTTTAAATATTAAAATTCAAAAGGGTATAAGAGAGTGTATATTCTTCCTCCCATTCCTATTCCTCAGCTACCCACTTCTTCTCCCAACAGCCAAACTGTCTTCCGGAGGTAATTTAAGTACATATACGTAAATGATAGCACATATTATACAAGTGGGAGCATACTTCACACATCATTCTGGACCTTGGTTTTTTAAACTTAAAAATTTATCTTAGATAGATTTTTTTTCCAAGTCATTATCTTTCCAAATCAGTACACATAGAAGTTTCTTATTCTTTTTTTTTTTTTTTTGGCGGTATTGAATTTTTTCTGTTTCATGGATGTATCATAAATTACCTTACAAACTCCTTTAAAAGATCATTAATTCATTCCTCTGCAACCAGTACCCTTTAAAAGGGTACCTTTAGAAAATAATAAAACACTTTATTTCAAGCTGGGAGAATTTTTATTGTCTTATACTCTTAAATTTTAATATTCAAAAAAGAAATTGTGGTTACCTTAACTATGTGGCAATGAATTAAAAATATATATGAAATGGCCAATTCCAGAAAAATAGAAATGACATATGGATCTCAGGATAAAAACTAGAACTCAGAGTTGCTACAAAATATTATTTAAGATGTCCAATTTTCAATAAAAAAAATATGGAGCAGGCAAAGAAACAGGGAAGTATGACCTCATATTCCAGAGAACACAGTCAATAGAAATTGACTCTGAATGGGTTCAAATACTGGATTTTGTAGAAAAATACTTTGCAGCTACTATAATTGTGTCCAAAAAATTAAAGGAAACCATGTGTAGAGAACTGAAGGAAAATATGTGGCTGGTGACTTAACAAATAAGAAACATAAAGACAAAGAAATTGAAACTATAAAAAAGAACCAAATGGAAATCCTATAGATGAAAAGAACAATAACCAAAATGAAAAAGTCACTAAATGGGCTCAACAATAGATTTTAGATAGCTAGATCTAGCAAAACAGTTCTTTAAAAAAATGAAGGCATTAGAAAAAAGTCCCCAGTTAAACAAAGACTGAAATAATTTGCTGCTAAGAGACCTGCCTTACAAGAAATACTGAAGGAAGTCCT